GACTAATTAATTTTAATTACCTAATAAGCACAGTTAATTTTAAGTGTCCTGTGTAAAATACATGCATTTGTCCGATTTTCCTTAAGTTCTAGGGTAGTTATCCAATTGGTTCTTTTCAAATATGAGAAAAAGGTCATTTGAAGTATTTGAAAAAAAAAGACAAGATACACATCTGTGCATAGAATTTGGAAAATTTTTACACGAGTGGATAAAAGTTCCCTTACTCTATCTATATCTGAAGGTTGTGAAAAAAAATTGTACCAATTTAAAGTGAAAAAAGAATGAAAAGTCCTTTTTTAATTGTGCTACATTACTCTATAAATTGTTTTTGTCACCTACTTTTTCTGCCATGTTGAACTAAGAAGAACGAAAGTAAATTATCCTATATATATATGTCATTCTTGAGTGACCCTATACAATGAACATATTAATTTTTTCTTTTTATCCGTCTATATGTTCAAAGAAAAAAAAGAAATTTGCTTGACGAAGAGGAAAGAAACAACGAATCTTTATCTGTTTTGACGCGTAGCGAACGAATAAAAAATGAAAAAATGACTTACAGGTGTATCCAATATAACTGGAACAGGTCGTCGATCAGAAAGATGATTAATAATACTAATAATACCATCAATATCGACTTTGTCATCGGCTACAAAAAAAATGAAATTATTTTTCTCAAATATATTCTGACAAATTGCTTACAATTTACATCTTGATCAAAAACTAAATCAGATAATTCGCCATCAGTTACATTAAAACCGACTCTTTTTATTAATATAACTAGACAAGAATAAATTAAATTAATAAACTTATAATTACAAGTAGATACTTGATTGCTGTCGACTAATTGTATTATCATCATCTTGTTCATCTCGACGAGCATCACCGACAGCTGATGAACTTGGTTCAGTATCATCATCAGGTTCATCAGTTCGTTTACGTTTATGACAAGCTGTTTCTTTTCGCTTATGTTTTTCAGATACCAATCTCAAAAATTCTCGTCGGATAAAAGCAATTTGTTGTTCCTTAGTTAAAAATTCCATGTTTTACTGTTCAAAATGAATTATTTTATATCTATAAGAAAAAAAAAACCAAAGTTGTTTTGATTAATTGAATACAAAAAATAAATAAGATTGTCTAAGAAAAAATAAATAAACAATATGAATGAATTATAGATAAACCAATAGATAAATTTTCTTAAACAAGTGTACAATAAGTAAGTATGCTATCGTAATACTTAAAGACAACAAATCAAAATATTTCATCTTTTTTCGATTCGCCTCTATTATAGATGCACATGTAACAATACGAACAATAAAGAAAACAAATTATATGCACAACAATTTTCAACTTAAATGATAGGAAGTTCTTTTCATATTCGTTTGTAGAGCGAATGTAGTTCTATAAAATGACAAGAATCTCTAATGAACTACGAGAACAAGAACAAGTCTTTGACAAAATGTCGTGTCAGATTGAAATCGTTTTAACATATGAATGACGAAAGTTATGTATGGAGAGAAAAATCCTTTTTTTTTGTTGCAATAATTATTTTTGGTTTATTCAACCAATTTTTTTTCTTAATTAATCGATGTTGAAGTACTGAAAAATAGCGTCGGTAAAACGATTTTACGTATGAAAACATGTAGTTACCTCGATCTAATAAATCTCATTGGAATTAAATGTATCTGATGTTAAGTAAAATGAATCATTTATGAATTTATTGAAGTAAATAAGCAAAACGATACAAAACCTGTATTTATTAAAATGTACAAATCCTATATATTCAGGTTTTCGTTTAACTTCATCAACAATAAAACCTTGAATAATTTCTCGTATTAGATTTGTTCTTAAAGCATTATTGGCTTGAATCAAAACAGAGCTGCCAGGCCAGGTCGAGTTTTAGGATTTTAGCCTGGCCTGCATCAGACCAGGCTAGATTCACCATGGCCTGCAGGCCAGGCCAGGCCATAACTTGTGGTCTGAACGATATTTAATCAAATTTTTTGTGCACTAATCCATTTTGATTTGAAGTGCCATTGCAGATTTAAAATAATTAGACAGTGATTGCAGTTAAATTTTTATTTTAAAATAACATGCTTTAATTTTAAAACAAACACCTGTTGCACACCTCGATCTTCAATGTTTTATGCGAGTCTTTTTGTAAATAGAATGGTGAATGGGTGACTTCACTATGTCCTGCGATGAATGACAATGATGATCATTAGTGATATTCAATTGTCTCATTCATTCTGTTTCAGTATTAACAATGAAGATTCAAAGTAGCACCTAACTCCAAGAGTTTATATCAACTCAAAAGGCTATATTTTTTCTCTAGGAGAGATGATTCTTGTAAACTAATTTGCTTGTTTTCGTATTTTTATGCTGACTTATCATTAAGTTAGAATATGTCTCAATAGGGAAGGATAATGTATTCTGATACAAAATGAAATTGACAAATAATAAAATTCAACAAGCATCATTCAGCAAACATTTCTGACTTAGATTAATACTGTTTGCTATTTTTCAATTTTTATGTTATATTTATTACAGTGTATGTTTTTCACTGTTGTGAAACAACCCTGATGAAAGTAGAATGACTTTGAAGGAATAACCATCGGCTATGTCCAAATTGCGAACAAAAATTAAGCCAATTAAGAAAAAAGTGTTCGCAATTTGGAACACAGAAAATAACGTTGATCTCATTTTTATTGCGTTTCCAAATTGCGAACACTTTTTATAATTAAGTAATATAGTTTTAATTCTTTTTATTTGACAAGTCAATACGAATTTGTCATTTCAATATATAATAATAAATGAGAATAATCATGAACGAAAATAAAAAATAATATAATAATTTTTTTCCTTTTTTTAAATATTTTTATTATTTGTAAGAAAATACAATAATAACAAGGAAAAAAAATTATTATATTATTATTTACTTTCGTTGATCATTATTCTCATTTATTATTATACATTCAAATGACAAATTCGTGTTGACTTGTCAAATAAAAAGAAATGATACCATTCTTATTCTCAAACTTTTATATTTATATTATTAATAAAATTGAACTCATACTCAGCTATTGCAATAACTAATTAATCAAAGTGTTCGCAATTCGGAAACGCAATAAAAATAAGATCAACGTTATTTTTGTGTTCCAAATTGCGAACACTTTTTTCTTAATTGGCTTAATTTTTGTTCGCAATTTGGAAGCTACGATAACCATCTGTATAAGCAAGACTTATTTTTCAGCAGCGTATCTTTTGATTTTCTATTTCTTAGAAAAGTTCGTAATTGCATTATCTTAATTGAGGAGAAATATGCGATCACAACTAGAGTGAAATAATGAAAAAACCTCTGATGCACATTGTACAATTTTATCCATGAAAGTAGTAAAATATTTGATAAATTTGTTCTGTTCTCTCAACAGTCTACAGACCAGGCTGAAAAAACTAGCCTGTTGGTAGCTTTGATTCTAATACATTTGATGTATGACAAATAAAAAAATTTAGACCGAAAAAAAAATAATAAAGTCGGCTATTCATCATCTGACAACATGATGATAACATTATGTTATGCTTTATTGTTCTTATAGACGACAATGAAGAGAATATGATAATAGATATATATAGAGAAAGAGATTGAACAAGATAGAGAATATCGGTTACACATGAACATTTTAAATAACAACGATATGAATATACTTGATTTACCTGACGAAATATTACTTGCTATTTTAAATAAAATGAATATGGTCGATGTACTTTATTCACTTGAGGGTGTGGGTGTGGGGTGTCGGTGTGGGTGTGAGGGTGTGGGTGGGGTGTGGGTGGGTGTGGGTGTGGTGGGTGTAGGTGTGGATGTGGGTGTGGGTGGGTGTAGGTGTGCCTGCGGGTGTGGGTAGGTGTGAGGGTGTGGGTGTGGGTGTGCGTGTGGGTGTGGGTAGGTGTGAGGGTGTGGATGTGGATGTGGGGTACGGGTGTTGACGTCTTCTAAGTCTATCACCCACACCCACACCCACACCCACACCCACACCCGCACCCACCTACACCCACACCCACCCACACCCAAATCTTACACTGATTATCTAGTTGGTCCTTAGAGAGTTTCCTCTGCTTCATCGAGAGAATGCTTCTTCAGCGAACAGCGACTTGAATCCTTTAAGCTATTTGAGTTAAAACTAATCTGGTTTAAGCAATCAAGTATGATAAAATATGGCTTTTGGATATTAAAATCTTAGAACTGTTTTCAAGTGTTTTAAGTGTTAAATAGAAAAAAGAACTTTTCTCATTTAGTATGTGCCAAGAGTTAAAGTAAAAAGAATCCTTTCTTAGAAAATAGATCATTACAGTGTAAAAGGATGTGGGTGTGGGTGTGAGTGGTTGTGGGTGTATTGTGCGATGTGGGTGTGGGGTGAGGGTGTATGGGTGTGGGTGTATGGGTGTGGGTGTGCCGATGAGAGTTTTTGGGTACGGTATTACTTCAGAGAAGGCTCGCATCCACAACCACCCACATCCACATCCACACCCACACCCGCCCACACCCACACCCACAACCACACCCCACATCCACATCCACATCCACACCCACACCCCATCCACACCCACACCCACACCCACACCCACCCACACGCACACCCCACACCCACACCCACACCCCACACCCACACCCACCAACACTCACACCCAATGCTATAATGATTAAATAATTGGCTTCATAAGTGTCGGTTTCTCATATGTCGATCCTTTCTGGCGGAATTCCGCTGTAATGTGCGCAGTTTAACGCAATTGCGTCATAGTTTTACAAATTGAGAAGAAATTCACATGAGTTGCTGGTTCCGTTGGATTTTTCGGTCGAAGCGTACTTTGTCGACGTTCGCGGAGAAAACAACTCACAAATGCTTTATTTGACTGCTTTTGAAAATAAAATGCGCAGAACGGTTTTTTTTATAGCACTTCCTCTAATGCAATAAAAGCAAATATTGAATTTTTTCCGCATAACTGGGCAAGTTTATGTATATATAAAGAACAATACTCTATGCCAGTTTATCAGTTGGTCTAACACTAGTTTTCAACAAACGAGATTTTTACAATCGTATTAGGTAAGAAGATGGATGCACTTCAAAACTGTTATTCACCTATGAGTCTGATATACGATTTTTTTAGAAGAATTAGATCAGAGAGAAACCGGAGCGCCCCACAGTCTGTGCATGGTGAAAGAAGGACTAAAATACATAAAACTGCCATCTCATTGGAAAAGTTCTACCGATACTCAACGAAAAAAGCTAAAATATCATTCTCGTTATTCTGACCTAAGGTTCTAATCATAGTTCACGTAGTCACAGATAAGAATGTCACGCTTTCTTGTTCTGATTTACAAAATTAATGATAAATCCAATCAGATAAGTCCGATTAACCAAATATATTTCACCCTAACATTTGTTATATCATGAATATAATATAGAGTGTTTGTTTTCAGAATATAATCTACCTCAATAAAAAAAACACATTTAAATCAATCAAGATGTTCAAAATGATCATTGTCTTTATTCTTATTGTTTCATTGGTTTGCATAAATGCTGCTTGGTTTCCGGAACAAGTTTCTGCTAAAGGAACGTGCGGAGGAGGATGTATGTCTTCACGGCAATGTGTAGATTGGGCCGGTGGTAATGGAAATTGTCGCTGTAGTTGGTTTTCATGTAAACAATTTTGAGAATACGTTCGTAATATCAACTGAAATTTATCGGACAAAATCAAGTTTTCATGTATTTCAGCATCTTTCGTTTTAGTGTGTGTTTGATGTTGAATAAATAATGGGAGAAAAGCATTCATGACTCATTTCTCTTTCTGCGACATTGTAAGAAACAAACTGTGACCGAAACTGGCTTTGTTTTCTTCAAGATGTTAGAAGAGTTGTTTCGTACCGTGTGAACTTGCTGAGCTGAAATTACATTAACTAGAAAAGATCTAGTTTCACTTTATATACTACTTTCAAATACCCAAGTTTTACACTGTAATGATCTATTTTCTAAGAAAGGATTCT